GTAAGGTATACAGTTTAGTGGTTCGAGTGCACAGAGGCTCCTCAGTCGGCCTAAATATTTAGAGAACGAGTATGGAATGTAATTTACTGGCTCAACAGCTTGGTGGACAAGAATGGGAATAGACACATTTATTGAAATTGTCTTTCGTGCAACACACTCTAAGAACGTGTAATACATAAAAAAAGTTTTACTTCACTCATCAAGTTCATGTCACGTTTATTTTGCTTTTTTCACTCTTCAAGTTCAATGAATGTGTATTTTGCGATCATACATGTATGTAAATTATGTTGAGCGCGGTAGCAAGGACCAACAAGGTCAACACCAATGTGCACGATGCAAGCAGCATATTTCGTGATGTTTATATACATATTAACTACGTCGACTGCGGGACTGCGGTAGCAGGATTTGACAAATGATATTTCAGTGGCCGGGTATTCTGCAGTTTAGCCCAGGAGGCTGCATTCTTTTGTTTGGGAAAACAAAGCGAACAATGACGCATTAAACAGTGAGTAACAAAAGTGAAAGCTAGTTTCAAAAACACGCCTTCAAACTGCTTAACGATTTTGCGTTAAGGCAAAAAACGGGCGTGTGTTTTGCGTGTCCGTTGGTCGCTTATCTCTGAGCTGTACTGTAGCGCTAGGGACAAGTACAACCCTTTGCATGTAAACTGAATACAGAAAACATATGGCGCTAGGATGATCCACCCATTAGGGTCTTCCTGGCACTAGGATCTTCCTCCCTCTATGTAAACAGCCCCTACGTCAGATCATTGACTCAAATCTTACAAATGTGCATAAACTTGCTGCATAAACTGCTCGACATCATAAAGTTGAAATTGTCGTGATATAACAAGTTTAAACAATGCATGCAATATTTACTCAGGCTTGCCATTCGAGATTCAGTTCTTGAAAGCGATCAAGGAAGGCCAAGGTTGCTTGAGACTTTTAAACCCTTTTACGCATAAAACAAGGTGAAAAACGAAAACGATGCCATCCAAAATGGAATTACCGAGTTTTGACAAGCAACACATTTCTCAACCAAAAACCCAATAAACAAACCAGCTACGACTAACAGAAGACCTTGAAAGCAGCTGTAATTCATTCTGTACAGCCAGAGGAAAAATACGGTTAAAAACATCAAAAGTTGACACAAAACTGTCAGCTTCAGCTGTCAAAGTAATCAACTTTCAAGATGCTGCATAAAATTTCCGCCTGAACTCACCTGTCAAATTTTGACCAATCAGAGCATAAAAATTGGACGTAGAACGTGACCAACGTGTGACCATGGTAAGAAAAGGTCTTCCCCGCCTGTATTTTTAAAAAAGCTGGCTGAATTTTCGCATCGGAGGTCAGTTTGAAATGAAAATTTTAATAGTGCAGGGCGATAGTGACATAACACAACATATGTCATAATATATAGATTTAGCTAGGGCTAAAAGCGAAGCTCCTATTAACTCGAATTAGATAGCAGCAATACTTCACCCTCGCCTCAATTGCAAGAAAGCGGTAATGGCACAGAGAAAAACCTAGATGATGAGTCACAAGCCACGACGGGAATGAAACGAAAGGCAACTGATAAGTCCGTGAAATCTGCCCGTAAAGGAAAGAAGAGACGTGATGAGGAGCAAACTGAGTGGCACACAAGTTTTCTTCAGCTCATGGAACGAAGCTTAGAGCAAGATACCATACGATCTGAATGTTCCACAGAAATGCTTCGAGAATCACAGTAGGGTTCAAGGACATTTTCAAAGATTTGGTATCAAAGTAGATCAATGCATGTATTCGATGTGTTACTGAAAAAGAAGACAGTTCAACTGTCTATTGCCAGTAATTCTTATTAAATATTGCCTTCATCAGCAAGTTTATTATTGCAAAAACTTGACCTGTTTTTGTATGACATTTTTTGCTACACAAAGCGATCAACAGCAAATAAAACCTACAGTTGCAAAATGTGGTGTTACAAGTTATCCCACAATGTCTTTTAAAGCATCTCTTACATCAGTGCCAGTTTCAAATACAATTCTGTCTTCATCTTCATCATCTGAGTCATCGTCAGAGTCACAGTCATCATCATACAAGTCACCTCTCTCAATACAGATGTTATGCAAAACGCATGATGCAACAACAGTTTTCGTTAACGTTGATGTTTTCTGCTCAATTTTTTTCATAACAATTCGCCACTGTGATTTTAACATGCCAAATGCACACTCCACTAGACATCGTAGGGAGCTGAATCTTTTGTTAAATTTTCTTTGTTCAGGAGTTAAGACTCCCCTGTCTGGGTAAGGTTTCATAAGCCAGCTGGTAAGGGGGCATGCGCTGTCTCCAGCGAGAAGAGGCTGTCTCCAGAGAGAAGAGGGCCGATTTCTACTCCATTGATATCTCTAGTCAGACCAGAAAGAATTTGTCCATTTTGTGCCATATCATATAGTCCACTTAATCTTAGAACACGGGCATCACGTATGCTGCCTGGATAGCCAACAGTAGCATGAATAAATTTTAGGCTACAATCAACTATGCCTTGAATCACACTATAATGCTGCTCACGCTTATAATAATCCTCGTGATTTCGTGGTGGAGCATTTATCTCTACGTGGCATCCATCTATGGCTCCCACAATTTGAGGTATGCCATACGTTTCTTCAAACTCATTAATCTTATCTGTAATTTCCTGCCTTGTCAAGGGAAATTTTATGAATTGATCCTTCACTTGAAGAAGAGCGCGCTCAAATTCACTGCACATATATTTCACTGTTGACTTTCCATATCCAAATTGTGACCCACAGCTTCTATAACTGTTGCTGGTTGCAAGTCGCCATAATGCTAAACCAACCCTTTCTTCTACGCTAATCTGCGCTCACATCCGTGTCTGTTGTTTTTGTAGATCTGCTCTTACAAGGTCACAAAGGTATTCAAATCTTAAATGAGTGACACGAAAATGC